TAAAGCACTATGATCTTAAGCACTGTTTTTCAATAAGTGTATGGAAGCCAAATGCAGTGCACTCAATATAAGTCATTACCAATTGAATCACCACCATTTTCTTTGGGTATAGCTTGCAAAAGAGAAAAATACAAGAGAAAAGAAACTCAGAAGGTGGATGGGTTAGCACTTGCAAAGAACAGAGTTCCTTTTTAATAGCTGTGTAGAAGCAGTTCCATATTGTTACTTAACATGCTGAAATCTATCTACTGTTGACTGCTGGGGCTTTATTCTCCTTTGCTTCTGATCACTCTTGAGATAGGAGGAGACAGACAGATACACATGCTTAAAAATGAAAATGTCAGTTCCATGTTGCAGGTTGAAATTAAAGATGGCTTCTAGATCTTAAGATATTGGACCACATGTCTATGGCCAAGTAGATTCCTTTTATATTAAGTAACTTTTAGAAAAAATGGGAATCCAGCTGGCTGCACTAAAAATCTGAAAACCTGGGAATCAATCATCATAAATTCAAAATTCATACACAACAAATATATTAGAGCAATACTAGTTTCTAAGAATTGGTTATTTTGTGTAATATAGCTACAATTATTTAGATTAGATCAGTTATAACTCCCAAGTTTTTAAACTATAACTTCCATTAAATGTTATAAAAACTACTGCATGGGTTTGGCAACCACACATGTATGGTAGCCATAGAATAATGCAGATGTTTTCCTGTCTTGGCTAGAATAACAGTCCAGATGCAGAATCAAAGGATTTGCTGCTTCTTTAGCAAAAGTTAAGAGGAGAAAAGTTTACATTATTATAAAATGCCTCCATGGATGACCCCCCCCCAAAAAAGATCATCCACTGAATTAGCAAAAATTAACTGGTTGTCTCGCAGTGAAATGTGATAGGAGCTGTAAGGATTATTTTTAATTCCTATGTCAAAACATGGCAATTAATCTGCATCAGCTTTCAAGATTTCAGCAAGCTGATGCCTTAGGCCATCATCTTTCTGAGGACATGGAAGAAAACTGAAGCATTGTTCCACAAGAAGCTTACGCTTCTTTCCAAAGATAGCATACAATTAAGACCACCATAGGTAAGATCAATAGCATTTTTAAAAGCCTGACTAGCCACATCCATGGCGACTAATTTACTACATGACAAACCTGAATGTATGAATTATCTTCTACAGAGTCAGAAATTTGGTCCATCTAGCCCACTAAAACTATTCTAGAGAAGTAAAGACCCGGGGGGGAGGGGGACTATAACTTCCAAGGCACATTATAAAAATATGTTTCACACTCCCTGATAATTTGTTTCCAGTTTTTTGGATGGAAAAATTGATTTATTTTGGGGAGTACTAAAAATTCTATGAAATATTTTGGGGTAGGAATGAGTGAAATATATTTTTAAGACACAAGTTTTACTCACTGAAACTATATAGCATGAAATGAACAGGTTTTTCCCCTAATTTCTTTACACAGGAGAAATCTGGAAATTTGAGGTAGTACGGGGGGGAATCATGAAATAGATTTTCTCCTTTGGAATTAGTAAAATGTGCTAAAATAGCATAATAGGATAAGGTTTAGCAGGTTGTGCACATATCATTTATGGGCAGAATTGCCACTATAAAAATGACTATTCTGCCACGCTTCTTATTTTTAGCACAATGTATACCTATATTGAAAAACAATAAAGTAGGTGAGGAATTAGATCAAATAGTAAGAAAATTTATATGGCAAGCGTGTTAAAATGAAACTATTGCGTGATAAGAAAGAAAGAGGAGGACTTGGATTACCAGATTGGCAACTCTATTATAAAGCAGCTGTGATGGGATGGATTAGAGAATGGATATTATTAGAGGATAAAAGAACATTAAAGCTAGAAAGTCATGACCTACACATGGGCTGGCATGCCTATGTATGGTATGACAAAGATAAAATACAACAAAACTTCCATAACCATATAATTAGAGGAGCGTTAATAAAAATATGGAGAAACATCAAAGAAAAGTTCTATGTTAAAATACCTAGGTGAGTATCCCCGTTAGAGGCTTTTATAATGCCAACCTTAATGACTGAAAATAAGAATGCTAACTATGAAATATTGTTGACTAAAGACAATGAACTGAAAACCTTCGAAACATTACAAACATTAAACATTAATCTTACAAATTGGGAAAAATTACAATTACAATCAAGATTTGCCAAAGACAAAGTAAGGAACTTTGTTAAAACAAAATCAGAATTAGATAAAATTTGGTTGTCACCTTCAGATAAAATGATACAAAAGTTATATAATTTCTTATTAAATGATGAGATGCAAGATGAATTTATTTATTTATTTATTTATTTATTCGAGTATTTCTACCCCGCCCTACCCCGCAAGCGGAATAACAAAACCATGGGATGCAATATAAATTTAGATAATTGGTCAAAAATGTGGAAATCAACAAAATTATTAAGAGCTACAACATATAAGGAAAATATCTTTAAAATGCTCTATAGGTGGCACTGGACGCCAGATAAGGTAGCTAAATGTTATAAGAATGTTTCAGGAAATTGTTGGAGATGCAAAAATAACATCGGAACATATTACCATATACGGTGGAGATGTGAGAACTATAAAACAGTTAATAGTAGAAATTACTGATATAGATCTGAAGTTGGTCCCAGAAGTATATTTGCTTAATATGTTACCAGATGGGATTAAATATAATGATTTATGTTTGATATTATATATCCTTACTAGTTCTAGAATCCTAATAGCGAAAGGTTGGAAATCAGATAAAATGCCAAGTAGAGAAGAATTAATTATGAAAATTATGGAAATAAAGGAAATGGACAAAGTAAATATGATATTGTCAGGGAAAGATGAGAATGTGTTTCAAAAAAAATGGCAAAAAATTGACAGATGAATTGAAAAAAGTGTGTAATGAAAACTCCAAAAGTATTTTGTATATATGACGTATATACCTTTCTTTTTTGTTATGGAAAAACAATAAATAAACTAAAAAAAAGGTTTAGCAGGTTGCAGCTCTCTTTTGCTTAATACTGGGTACATTTGCAAGTTTGCTTGTAGAAAAGTTACGCATTTGTAGCTTTATATGCCATAAAAATGCCAAATGTATATAATTAAGTTATGAAGCATTTATGCTGTTAAAGCAGCAAAACAGGTTTAGGTTTGATTAGAGATGTGAAGGCCCAGAAAAAAACTAGAAAATTCGGAAGGAAACTGTTTTTCCCCCGTTTTTTTCTGAACCCTTTTTTGTTTTTTTCCGAAAAATTGGAAAAATTGAAAAAAGAAAAGAAAAGAAACAAAATTGATTATGGAACGTTTTATTTTAACATGATGAATAAAATATTTTAAGACAAGGTGTTCAAATATTTTCCAAATCATTTCTAAAATATATATATACAAGAAAGGGGACCTGCGAAAATCGCGGGGGGAGGAGCGGGGGAGCTCCACACAGAGCAGGCGGAGGAGGAAGCCGCAGGTAAGCTTCCCCCCATCCCGCCAGTTCCCCCCATCTCCTCCACACACCCCCTCCACCACCACCACCCGGCCCAGGGGGCGAGGCTCGACCTGCGTG